TGTTGGCGGCCGCTGGCAGCTGCTTCATGCTCGCATCGATGTCGGCGAAGATCCAGCAGTAGTGGGCGCGGGCCTGCTCGGACGGCTCGAACCCGCACTCTGACGCCGTGACAGCGAAGTGGCCGAAGTCGCCCCAGACGGTGCGCGGGTCGAGACGCAGCCTCATGCATGCATCGAGGGCGGCTGGATAGCACTCAGCTTCGAACAGAAAGGTCGCCAACGTTGCATCTGCCCACGTGCCGTTGTAGTTGTATGTGTCGGCAGCGTACGTGGCGTCCATCATCGCGCGGATCGCGCGTCGCAGGATGCCGCTCGCGCCCTCGCGCAGTAAAGGGCGCCGTTCGATCCAGTGCCAAAACGGCATCGGGGTGGGGGGGGTGGGGCGCGGAGAAGGCTCGGGCTCCGAGCAGGCCCCCCCCCTGGGGCCTCGGCGTCGCTCCCCCCGATGGGCGCTCGACGGGGCCGCGCCCGACGCCAAACACTCTGGGGCGTCGCGGGCGACAGGCCCCGATTGGGGCCCATGGGGGAGCGACGGGGGGGGGCCACGAAACCAGCAGGATTGGCCCCGAGCGTTTCCCAAGATGGCCCCTGATGATTCAAGACGGCCCTCAAGGTGGCCTGGTGCATCGCGAGAAAGGCATCCTTCAACCACGCGTGATTGAAGGATGCCCTTCTCACGATGTACGCGCTGGCATTTCCACTCGTGACACCGAGGGCAGGATCTGGAATAAGGTCACTTTCACCGTGACCCTTCATATTGTTGAGGATTGGGTTCGGCCCTCGCCGTCGTCCATGGACGAAAGGCCGCGTGGTGGGCACCGCGTGGTGGGTACCGCTTTCGGTAGAGCTCCCTATGGTGCTATGAACCGTGTGAGGGGTGTGCCGAAATGGCCCGAGGCCGCCATGCTAACCCTGCCGCTGGGGCCTTCGGTGGAGCTACCTATGGGGCCACGATCCTCGTGAGCGGTGTGCCGAAATGGCCCGAGGCCGCCATGCTAACCCTGCCACTGGGGCCTTCGGTGGAGCTCCCCACAGGGCCACGATCCTCGTGAGTGGTGTGCCGAAATGGCCCGAGGCCGCCATGCGAACCCTGCCACTGGGGCCTTCGGTGGAGCCCCCCGCAGGGCCACGATCCGCGTGAGGGGTGTGCCGAAATGGCCCGAGGCCGCCATGCGAACCCTGCCACTGGGGCCATCGGTGGAGCTCCCCACAGGGCCACGATCCTCGTGGCGGGTGTGCCGAAATGGCCCGAGGCCGCCATGCGAACCCTGCCACTGGGGCCTTCGGTGGAGCTCCCTATGGGGGCCACGATCCTCGTGAGCGGTGTGCCGAAATGGCCCGAGGCGGCCATGCGAACCCTGCCGCTGGGGCCTTCGGTGGAGCTCCCTATGGGGCCACGGTCCTCGTGAGGGGTGTGCCGAAATGGCCCGAGGCCGCCACGCGAACCCTGCCACTGGCGCCTTCGGTGGAGCTCCCCACAGGGCATCGATCCTCGTGGCGGGTGTGCCGAAATGGCCCGATGCCGCCATGCGAACCCTGCCACTGGGGCCTTCGGTGGAGCTCCCTATGGGGCCACGGTCCTAGTGAGGGGTGCGCCGAAATCGCCCGAGGCCGCCATGCGAACCCTGCCACTGAGGCCTTCGGTGGGGCTCCCTATGGGGCATCGGTCCTCGTGGCGGGTGTGCCGAAATGGCCCGAGGCAGCCATGCGAACCCTGCCACTGGGGCCTTCGGTGGAGCTCCCTATGTGGCTACGACCCTCGTGAGGGGTGTGCCGAAGTGGCCCGAGGCCGCCATGCGAACCCTGCCACTGGGGCCTTCGGTGGAGCTCCCTATGGGGACACGATCCTTGTGAGGGGCGTGCCGAAATGGCACGAGGCCGCCATGCGAACCCGGCCACTGGGGCCTTCGGTAGAGCTCCCTATGGGGCCACGGACCTCGTGAAGGGGTGTGCCGAAATGGCCCGAGGCAGCCATGCGAACCCTGCCGCTGGGGCCTTCGGTGGGGCCCTCTATGGGGCCACGATCCTAATAAGTGGTGTGCCGAAATGGCCCGAGGCCGCCATGCGAACCCTGCCACTGGGGCCTTCGGTGGAGCTCCCCAGAGGGCCACGATCCTCGTGGCGGGTGTGCCGAAATGGCCCGAGGCCGCCATGCGAACCCTGCCACTGGCGCCTTCGGTGGAGCTCCCCACAGGGCCACGAACCTCGTGGCGGGTGTGCCGAAATGGCCCGAGGCTGCCGTGCGAACCCTGCCACTGGGGCCTTCGGTGGAGCTCCCTATGGGGCCACGACCCTCGTGAAGGGTGTGCCGAAATGGCCTGAGGCGGCCATGCGAACCCTGCCACTGGCGCCTTCGGTGGAGCTCCCCACAGGGCCACGATCCTCGTGAGGGGTGTGCCGAAATGGCCCGAGGCCGCCATGCGAACCCTGCCACTGGGGCCTTCGGTGGAGCCCCCTATGGGGCCACGATCCGCGTGAGGGGTGTGCCGAAATGGCCCGAGGCCGCCATGCGAACCCTGCCACTGGGGCCTTCGGTGGAGCTCCCCACAGGGCCACGATCCTCGTGATGGGTGTGCCGAAATGGCCCGAGGCCGCCATGCGAACCCTGCCACTGGCGCCTTCGGTGGAGCTCCCCACAGGGCCACGAACCTCGTGAGGGGTGCGCCGAAATGGCCCGAGGCAGCCATGCGAACCCTGCCACTGAGGCCTTCGGTGGGGCTCCCTATGGGGCATCGATCCTCGTGGCGGGTGTGCCGAAATGGCCCGAGGCCGCCATGCGAACCCTGCCACTGGGGCCTTCGGTGGAGCTCCCTGTGCGGCCACGACTCTCGTCAGGGGGGTGTGCCGAAATGGCCCGAGGCCGCCATGCGAACCTTGCCACTGGGGCCTTCGGTGGAGCTCCCTATGGGGCCACGATCCTCGTGCGGGGTGTGCCGAAATGGCCCGAGCGAGCCCTGCCACTGGGGCCTTTCGCCGTCGTCGTCGTCGTCGTCGTCGTCGTCGTCGTCGTCGTCGTCGTCGTCGTCGTCGTCGTCGTCCCATCGGCCCCCCACCCCCCTCCTTTTAAGCGCACATAAGTAAGGAAACATGTCCGAAACGGCCGCGCTCTCTTACGCACCGTTGCCATGTCCTCGACCTCGAGAACGAAGGCTTCCCCCTTGAAAGGCGGGGGCGCAGGGGTGGGGCCCTGGTGAAACATGGGGGTGGGGCCCTGTCTCCGACCGCGGTGAAACATGAATAGGGCGCGGCCCTCCCCGCCCTCGCGGGGCGGCCTTGCTCCCTGGGGCGTGGTCGAAAACAGGGGCGGAGGGGATTCAGGGACTTCTGAATTATAACTAGAAGGTGGGGAGGAGGAGAAGGAGGAGGAGGAGAAGGAGGAGGAGGAGGAGGAGGACGACGACGAGGGCCCAACACCACAGGATGGTTGGGCAAAAAATGTCCTTCCTCCTTCATACACCCGCATCGACATCATCACAATCACAGACATCCGCCTTTTTGGCATCGTCATTTTGGTTTCGCCACAGCGGCTCACCCGCTGAAGCGGTGCTGACCCCGCATAAGTGATATGTGCGCATACCTTTGCCAGTGGCCCAAAGCTGCGGTCTGATGTCAAGCCCGCGTTCCCGCGCCCCGCGCACTCCCCCGCTCTCGAGAGCCATGACAGAGGCCGAGGCCACGACGAGTCGCGCCCCGCGCACTCCCCCGCTCCTGCCGACGAGAGCCATGGCAGAGGCCGAGGCCCTTCGCGCCATGGCAGAAGCCGAGGCCGAGACGCCCGCCCCGTGGACTCCCGAGGGGCCGCCTCCGAGCCCGCCGAGAGCCATGGCAGAGGCCGCGCGCGCCGAACCCGACAAGAAGCCCGAGCGCGGCGGCGACCACCTGATCGAGATGCTCCAGCCGCCCGAGAAGCGGGTCAAGAAGGTCGAGCAGCAGTGGAAGTGCATCGAGGACGTGACCAACCCATGGTTGAAGGCCGCCTTCCTGCAGATGTATGGTTCAGGAGGGCCCCCATCTCCAGACGTCGAGCAGTACGACTACAGGCACCCGAAGAGGGCCACGTTCAAGGTGACCCTCGAGGTGGAGACCGAGTGGGTGGACCCACGCTCGGAGTCTAATTGAGGGCGGGAAAAAGCATCGTCAATCATCAACATCACCATCACCATCACCATCACCGTCATCATCACCGTCATCATCGTCATCATCATCATGATCATCATCATCATCAGCATTATCATCCTCATCCGTCTCATCATCATCAACATCATCATCATCAGCATCATCATCACTCTCACTCTCTTGATCCTCCCACTCCGCCTCCTATTCCTCCTCCCTCCTCCATTGCACAACCCATTCAAGGACGAGCCCGAGGGGCCGCGGCGGGTAGGGGCTTCAGGGGGGCTCGGGGACTTACGGAACTTATGTGGGACTTATTTTTTTCGGAAAAGATAACTTATTGGGAACATTTGTCCATAAATAGTTGCAGCGATAAGTTCCCTAAGTCCACTTGTGTGCTCGAGTACTCGATTTGTTCAGCTATATCTGACACAAGAGCCCCGACTGGTATCAGGGAGAAGGGTTGGGACTTCCAGGGGCCGCGCATTGAAAAAATCAAGACGTCGGGGGTCTGGGGAAGCGGGTCCTGAGGGAAATGGGCCCTGGACCCGGTGGGCCTCCCTTTTCCCAGACATCCAGCGTCTCGAGCGACAGCAGGACGCAGGTGTCTCTCCTCGTTTCTGGCTTCTCGCGAATCTAAATCCTGTCCAGGGGAAACAGTCGAGAGGCAGTGGGCCCGTGATTCAGAAAGAACGGCGCGCCGGATGTCTGGGGCACCTACCTCTCAGGACCAATTCATCCTGAGTCGCTCTCTGACGCTCCTGGGGCCCGTGGGAAGCCCTGAAGCAGCGAACCCCCCCGGAACTGTTCCCTTCGGGGCCCGCCCCCGCCCTGGCCAGCATCGGCGCGCGGCCCGGCCGGCCCCAAAGGCGGGCCGAGGCCGCCGCCGCCGCCTGCTTCCTCGACGAGGTGGCCGGCGGCGGCGCGGACCGGACGCTGGGCACGGCGGTGAGCGGCTGCAGCGGCGCCGCCGCCTCGGGCCGCACGGCGGGGGGGGCCCGAGGCCGACCGGCGGAGGGGCCGCGCCCGAGGTCGCACGCGGGAGGGCCCGAGGTCGCCCGAGGCCGCGCGCGGGAGGGCCCGAGGTCGAACGGCGGGAAGGGAGGAGGAGGAGGAGGAGGAGGAGGAGGAGGAGGAGGAGGAGGAGGAGGAGGAGGAGGAGGAGGAGGAGGAGGAGGACTGTCCAAGGACCAGCGCTCGAGGCTCGACGATCGCTGCAGAGGATTGCGGGCGACTCCCAGCTCTCCTCCGGCCCCCCTGGGCCTCTGGAGGCATGTCCGCGGAGGCCTCCACCGGGGACACTCGGGAACCTCTGAAAACCTGCGGGCGTCTGGGACGTGCTGCCCGATGGGAACGCTTCGGGGTGTTGTTTTACGACAGTTCCTGCTCCAACGTCGAAAAGCTGACGTGCTCTCGCCCCCTTCTCGCTATCACCGCCTCGTCTGCTGCGGATCCTTCGGCACGACTGTGCGCATCGCGAGCTCAGCGAGAGCGCCCGACGCCGCAGAGAAGGCAACTTGAGAGCGCCCCCTATCCGCGAACGGGCAACGGCGACGGAAGCGGTGGAACAAGGAGTGACGGAACAATCCGCAACGGAGATCCCCTTACGGTCGAAGACTTTTGCTTGTCGCGTCGCGCAGGCTACCCCTGCGACAAGTTGTGCCTTGCAAGCTGACGGCGCGACGAAAAGCCTGGAAGAACTGGGGACAATGATGCTCCAAGACTGGGATGCGATTGACGTGCCGTTCCGAAGCGTGATGGGCCAGAACCAATGGCGCGGCAAACTGAGCAAATATTCCTGGCAGTGCCCCGAGGAGACCTGGAGCTTCCAAGCGACCTAGGCCACAGGCCGCAGCTTCGCGCCACCTCCTCCTCGTCCTCCATATCCTCCTCCCTTGAGGTAGCGCTCTGCCCTTTGGAACAGCAAGTATCGACTGGAGGCAGAGCGATGAGAGACAGGGCAACGCTGGCACTAACAATTGATCGGCCTTGCTGGCGATGGCTCGTAACTAAAGAGAAGAGCGAGGCCGGCACGACTTGCAAATATCGGAGAGGGACGCTACATGCGCGTGCTTAACATCTAAGAGGCGACGCGCTTAAATCGCATGAACAAGCGTTTTTTCGAGGGAACTGGACAACTCTGGTGAGCTGCGCAACCTTTAGAAAGCAAGCCATGACCAATTGGAAAAGACGCGTTCCTGCCCAGCTAGATCACCGCCGCGACCCATGTTTTCCCAAAGCAAATCTCAACAAACCTGGTGGCCAGATCGACCCCTGTTTTCCAATTTTGAAACAAGCACGCATCGCATCGTCCGTCTGCACGCCAGGGTGGAAAGGCATTCATTGTGTCTGGTGGCCCGACTGCGCCCCTGAATCCGCAACGGCAACGACGTATCGTTGCGGCCCGCACAGAATGCAGTTGTTGAATAGATTTGTTATTTGCCATCTTTCGTCGTTCCGCGCAACGCGCATGCGAGTGGCACACGGGCGAAGGCGACACCAGGACAGAGGGGTCAACTCTGCCTCCCGCCTCCGTCAGAAATACAAAGAAAAGCTCGTGAGAAGCCGGGAACGCTGAGCGCTGAAACGAAGTTCTCATCTGGATAGCTCGTTCACCCAATTGCCCCGCCTCGGCGGCATCTTTGAACTCGAGGAAAGCGCCGTGCGCCTTGCTGGCGTCCGCGCGGTCGACGCCGAACGCCAAATTTCTAGGCGCCTCCAGCTGGATGACGCCGGCAAAGCAAAGTCATTGTACGCTTAGGTTGGGCGTGTCCCCCTACGAGGGGATTTTGGGCGAAAAATGAAAAATACGGAAACATGCTCCCAAAATGCTCAAAAATAGTCCCAAAAAAAACGTCCCAGACTATTTGATTACTATTTTTGCATATTCCACCAGTAGAAGGACACGCCCAACTTAATTGCACGCGCCCATCACCATCGATGTCGGCGCAGAGACAATCATGCGCCCAGTGGACGCGTTGACAGCAGCGCTGTCTTCTGAATGAAGATGCTGCGCCGCGGGCATCCGTGCCCCCAAACGCCTTGGCGTGCGCCTCGGCGCCAGAGCCTTGGCCTCCACGGCGCCCACATTGCAGCCCATGGCGATGGCTTCGTCCACAGCCTTGAGGGCCTCCTTCGTGTAGCCCCTGGGAGCGACTGGAAGTACAGGTCCGACTCCCAATCGATCTCCTCCAGGAAAGTGTACGTGGCCTCGGACAGCTCCTTCGCAGCGCCGACCGCGTCCCCCGACCGCGTCCCCCGTGGCCACAATGGAGCCAAAGGCCTAGCCGGTCTGGCTGGCTTGGGCGACGTCCTTGACGTCGAACAAGCCAGCGCACGCCGCGCACGCCGCGGAACCCTTGGCCATGGACTTCAGATGCGCCGGCACCGCTGGATCAGTAATGTCGGCGACAGCGCTGTACACGTTTATTACGGTTTCCTCGGGCACCGAGACGATCGCGCGGCCGAGGGCGGCGTTGAACTCGCCCCAGGCCTCGCGCGAGGCCACGCCGTTCTTGCTGGCGCCGATGCTGCGGATGGCCTTGTGGTGGGCCTCCGCCGCCTTCTTAACCAGAGCCGCGTCGGCCTTCACGCCCATCGCGGTTGTCATCTTCTCGACGGCTTTTGACGCCCAGTTCGCCTGGAACGACCCATGAGGCTCAAAGTACACAGGTTTTCTATCAGTCCACGGACATGGCGAAGTCGTGAGAGGCGTCGCCGAACTTCTTCGCTGCGTCGCCGATGGCGGATGAACAACAAAATGCATGCTCGTAGACTTTCGGCCCGGAATTCTTGGATCGACGCGGGGCCCCCCTCCCCGGGCGCGCGGAGCGCGCCGGGGGCGGCGCCAAGGAGGCCAAGCGCCGATCCAAGCAATGCGCGCTGAGCTCCGAAACTCCATGTTCATGCTGCGTTGGTTTCTCGAGATGGGGTCTGCCAGCGCCGCGGCCGACGCCCGCCGCCGCAGCCGCAGCGGCGGCGGCCAGGCGCGCGCTGGGCTGGGCACGAAGGCCTCCCGGCGCGGGAGCTGGGCGCCCGCGAGGGCGGCGGCAGCGGCCGCGAGCGTCCTGCCAGAGCGACCCACGGCGAGGTCGGATGCTCTCTTGGCACGGGCTGCAGCTGTTGAGCCACAACCATTTCAGCCAGAACGGCTCACGTTGGGCATGCCCGCCTCGCTGTGTCGGCCCAGTTCGTCGTCGTCGGCCTCGCCGCCGCGCCCCTGGACCTCGTGGATCGGGGGCATGGGGCGGTGTGCTGGGAGACCCCAGGCAGCGCGCAGCCTCGCCCCCCTGACCCAAGGTTTCTGAGGTCATGTTCGCAACGTGGGCGGCCCTGGCGGTATACTCTCAGCAAGGCAAGAGAATCTGCGGTTTTGAACGTGCAGCCCGGTCCAATCGAAGGTGCACCCTAGAACAAGATCGCCTCTACGTACCACTCTCGTCGCGAGATTGACTGACCCAGCGACTGCTGCAGCATATGCCTACCGTGTTCGTGCGTGTCACAAGCAAGCCTTTCATTTTTACTTGCCCTTGTCTCACGCCTAACTTGCCAGTGGTGCCAAGGTGGTGACAACAACCTTTCTGATCAGAGAAGTCGCACCGAGGGTGGCCTGCGTCCGATGAGGAGGTCTCGAATGGGGTGCTGTCACGTTTGTTTCAGCTGCAGCTTCAGTCACGGTTCTAGAGATGACTGCGAAACTGCAACTTGAACTCTAGATTTAGGTCTCAGCGTGCGTGAGATGCATGTTCGCTTTAACGCGGGCCATTGCTTAGAGTCGCAGCTTCAGCTTTGGCTTAACTCTTAGGACTGCGAAGTTCGATCACAGCTCATGCAAATATGTATCTAAGCGAAACGCGGGAGCACGTCAAACGAACTTTGACCAGCGCGCCAGGCTAAACCACAACAGGCCAGAGGATTGACAGAACTCTGGAGTGGAGGAGAGTCGATCATATTTGGTGTGCACAGCGAGGCGCGATGTTCTGGCGTCTTGCTGCGTCGTGGTCTCGTAGGACCAGGAAGGGTGGGGCGTCGTGACGTCGAGCACGAAATACGAAGCCAGGACGAATATAACATCGGGTGATAATGAATCGGGATTCTTCGAGATCCGGCGTCTCTGGAGGATGTATCGGGCACCGCGGCCTTCTCAAAGCGTTCCAGAACGCTTCGAAAGCGTTCTGGAACGCTCTGCAATGGATTTATTCTCGTCCTAGCCCCGTCCGAAATTGCTCAAAGGACTCCTGAAGCGGATGCTGGTGCGGACACCGAGACAGCTGACTTTACAACCGAGGCTAATGCGCATCATCATAACGGGAGCGAGGACGCGCCTCTGGCCCAACGGCATGTGCGCGGTCCGAGGAGGGGGGGCCAGGGACGCATTGAAACAAGAAGAGGCGCCGCGAAATCTGGAGAAATAGCATGGCCCCCGCCATGATATACCCCCCCCCCTGATCATCACCCCCCTCCTGGCCGCCCCCAAAAAAACTCTGCCACGACGGGAGCACGCCGCCGGGGCCCCGGGGACGCCCCCCGCGAGAGGCGGCGCTCTCCGAAGGCGAGCCTGGCGGGCGTCTGGGGCCCGCGCCCCCGCTCGCCCAAAGGCGCCGCTGCGGTAGCTGGGCACCGCGGCGCGCCCGAAGGCGCCGCCGCCGCCACCTGGCGGGCCGCCTCTCGCGAAGGCGGGCTCTCCAGCCTTGTTGATAGGGGGGTTACAAGTGGATGCCAAGGTGGGTTATATCTGGCCCAGCCTGGCTTAAGTGGGTTACAAGTGCCTCAAGTAGCTCAGGGTGGTTAACGATCTGGGCTAGGTGGGCTCCGCCCACTCAGCCGAGTGATCGAACCCCCCTAAGCTACTCGGGAAATGTGTAACCCACTTATGAGCCAGGTTGGGCCAGATATAACCCACCTTGGCATCCACTTGTTAAGCCCCCATATCCACTTAGAACCCCCCACGGTCATCCCAGTAGGTGTGGTGGCGACTTCGGGGATTCCTCCTCCCCAGGCCCCCCAACGAGGCGCGAGAGGAAATATCACGACCGGACGTTTTGCGCCATGCTCGGCCTCTGGGGGCCCTCATTAGGCCTCGGGACCGTCAAAGAATGACTCAGGATGAAAACGAGTCCCGGGGAAGGGGCCGAGACCTCTGATAGAAAACATGAGGTCGCGGATCTGGGTCCTTATCCGAAACATTCTGAAGGCCTCGCGTGGCAACTTGAGACCCAGTGCGTGTCGGATCCACGCCAGAGTTGCGTCGGGTTCCTGCTGGATGACATCGGATGAACGTCGGACCTACGTCGGAGCATCGCCGCGCGAACATCGGCCCGTCTCTTACGGAGCGGACGTGTGGACCAGATGACGCAGCTATTGCAAGCCGCGCGAAGCCTCGCAGATTCTCCTCTCATTCCTCCCTCTTTGACTACCTCCCAGACCACCCCAACCCAACCCGAAGACCCGAATTTCGGGTTGGGGGGGGTAAGGGTTCCACATGTGTTTTTGTCGACGTTTCCCGACCCCCCCCCACTGGAGATCGAGGGTAAATCTGAGCCTTCGGGTTGGGTTGGGGTGGTTTGGTGGGTGGTGACTCTTCCCTCCTCCGCCCAGATCCGCAGCCTCCAGGGCTTGCAATCGACTGCCCGGCGCAGAGGCCAGGCTCCTGCCCGGAGAAGAGGCCGCTTCCAGCGCGGCCCCCGCCCGCGTGCCGGGCGGCGTGCTGCTTGCTGTGTCCTGCTGTTGGACCTCGATCTCCTCACTGCTGCAGTTGGTGAGGGCGCTCTGCCGCCGCGTGCATCGTTCAGTACTGACCGATCGGCCGCGTCTCCATCGCCAGATCCTCCGGCATGTCGGCCGATTCGGGGCTATACTGGCGGGGCGCTCAACCCGGAGCGCCCGCGGCGGGGTCTCGCCGCCGCCTCGACAAGCGCGAGAGCCTGCCACGTGGCGCGGGGCGATCGCCCCACCGAGGCTTCGGCGAGCGAGGCTTCGGCACGGCCCTCCAGGTCTCGGGGACATACAGTCGAGGCGTTGACCTAAGGAACCCTAAATAAGGAACGAGGCGCCTATTTTCCATAAGTTGAACTTAGAGTTCGTATCGAAAACATAAGGGGAACCTGAGGCAAGCTGTGAAACACTTAAGGAACACGGAGCCCCTCCCCAACGAAAAGGGTTCCTTCTTCAGGGCCCCGACAATACGTGGCACCCTGCAGCTGCGGAGAAGAGGGAGGGGGCGGCGGGGACGTCGGCAGCCTGCGAGGCTCGGCAGAAGCCCGCCGCAGGCGCCGAAGTTGTACGAGGCGTACTACGAGCCCGCCGCAGGCGCCGCTTTGTTGTGAATCGGCGGTGGACAAACCTCCCTTGAATAAACCACCCTTTAATGAAAACGGCATAAGACCGAAACCGACGGACCCGGACCCGCAAGAGTGACGGCCGCGACGCCCTCCCGCGAAGCGAAAACTGCCAATTCGCTACTCGACGTGTCAGAGAAGGAGGTCGATCGACCTCCGAGTGAAAGCAATGTGGGTAGGTCGCGGGTGGGTCGTGGGTGAGTCGCCGGGTGGGTTGCCGGGTGGGTCGCGGGTTGGGTCGCGGGGGCGGGTCGCGGGGCGGGCCGCGGGCGGGCCGCAGGCGAAGACGACGACAACAATAGCAATCACAACAACAACAACAACAACAACAACAACAACAACAACAACAGCAACAACCACAACCACAACAACAAACAAACAACGACAAAGACAACAACAACGGCAACAGCAACAATCATTTTGAGACTGTTCGCTCTTATCTGCCCGCGTGCCATTCAATACGTATATCCCAAGCCCTCGATACCCGCCCGCCCCGTCTTCGATCGTCCCCCTTGGGGGTATATGTTGTGTTTCTGCAGCGTGTACTTTGTGCAGCCCCTGAGGCAGGGAAAGAGAGGATGGATGGAAGGAAGGGACAAGTGGGAAGGATGGGGATGGAGCGCGAGAGAAATGAGCAGAAGGGGGCTAGGATCAGAACGGACAGGCAAATCGGGCGGATAGACCCTACCCGGCGGGTCGGGAAGGCGGGCCCAGGCGGCCAGGTCGAGTAGGCGGGTTGCTGAAGCGTTGGTCCTGCATGAATCGCAAGGAATCTCTAGCGATAGCTCGATTTCAAAATCAATCGTGAGGAATTCCCCAGCGAGAGCGTGATTCCTGAGTGTCGAAGGCGCGGCGTCTAAATAAATCGCGAGGAAGTCCAACGCGAGAGCTCGATTCCTGCATGAGTTGCGAGGAAGTCCGGAGCGAGAGCGCGAAGTGAAAATACACCGTGAGGAAGTCTCAAGCGGGAGCCGGTGTTGTTGTAATTCGGGGGATTGGGGCGCGGCTTGACGCTCAAGACTTTCCCTGATAAAAACTAGGCGCGCCGGGGGGGGGCACTTCACTTGAAAAATCAATGTGCACCGGGCGGGGGGGATCAGTAATCATTATTTTCAGAAGTGCGATTTCGAACCACAACACCAACAAAAAACGGCATCAACCATCATTTTCAAACTGTTCGCTCTTATCTGGTATCGTACCCATTAGAAATCTGTTTTTCTCACATGCAGCGCGTATTTCGTGCAGCCCCTAAGGCAGGGGAAGAGAGGAAGGATGAAAGGAAGGGACAGAGGGGGCGGGTCGGGAAGGCGGGCTCAGGCGGCCAGGTCGAGCAGGCGGGTTGCTGAAGCGTGCGTCCACATTGTGAGAAATCCCCCACGAGAGTGTGATTTGTGAACCATCTGCGAGAAAGTACAAGGCAGGAGCCATTGTTGTTGTAGTTCGGGGCCCAACAGCGCAATTTGTTTGGTGGCGCCAGACTTTCTCTGATACCAGATGGGGTGCGAGCCTCGGGAGGAACACATAATTGAAAAGTCGAATGGACATCAGAGGGGGAGAACCAACAACAATTTTTCTTAAAACATGAGAACCCAATCCGTACCGCGGAGCCTCACAGGACAATCAATGACCGCTCGGACCCCTCACTCGCATAACCGAGCACTGCTGCCAGACTCGTGCGGTCATTATCTTCCCCCATCCCAGCATTGTCAAAGTGTTGGCCCACAACGCGCCAAGTTTGAGTTTCAGGGGATGGAGGGAGTATTACTCACGGTCGGGAGACGTTGCTCAAGGGGTCGCGGCGGCGGCCCCCCGCGACACGCTATGCCCTGCAAGAGGACAGCGTGTCGCTCCGCTCCGCGGAGCGGGAAGCTGCAAAGCTCGAGACGCTCGGGGACCAGGATGTGGATTGCGTGTCGCGCCGAACGGGGTGGACCGGAACGAGAGGCGCCACATGCGAAGCCAGAACGCCTCACCACAATTGCTGGACGAGGCTCGAAGGGCTGGTCGCAACGGCGTCCGAGTCGGTGCTCTGGCCGGCCTGGGCTTCCTGCGCGTCTCCCGGCGTGGCGACGCCACGATCGGTTCGGGCCCCTGGGCCGTCCATGCACGACCAGGGACGAACAACGCATCCAACTGTTGCCCGGAGCGGCCGCGCCACGTGTATCCACCTTTCTGGTGAGGCCCCAGGGCTGGACCTCAGGATTTCCCCAGGAGTCCTCACGCGCTGACAACGGATTGCTCAGGAACCCTTGAGAGCCCATCAGACATCCTCAAGAAGAGTTCTCAGGAGTCCCCCAAACTTCGCCATGTTTTTTTTCAAGAGTCCTCAGAAGATCTTCCTTCGGAATCTCAGCACCTCAGGAACCATGCCAACAAAGGCTGGGACCTCATGGGCGAGACCCATTTAGCGGGATCCTGTGAGCAGGACCCCGTTGGCAACCTGGGCTGGACCCCCACGTCCAGATTCAGTTCCTCACGAGAATGGCAAGAAGCCCGTATATACACCAAGCAGCGCTTAGTAGAACACCGCCTTCCACCATCGAAAACAGTTTCGAAAGGGCCTTCGCCAAAGGACTTCGCTCCCACCCTCCCCGTTGTCGTCCTCCTTCCCCTCCCCCTCCACGCCGCCGCCGCCGCAGTCCTCGCCGTCGTCCCCGCCCTCGCCGTCCGCCGCGCCCTCGTGCTCGCCCCGGCTGCCCTCGCCCTCGCCATCCTCGCCGTCCTCTCCTCGTCCTCGCCCGTGCTCCCCCGCCCTCCTTCTCGCCGCCGCCGCCCTCGCCGCCGGACCTCCCCCGCGCCCCCTCGCGGGCCTGCCCCCGGCGGGCCTGCTCCCGGCGCCGGGGCGCGAGGCTGCGGGCGCAGGCCGGGGGCGAGGCGGGGGGGCGCACGGCCGACGAGCGACGAGCACGGCCACCTCCGAGCGATGAGCCGCCCGGGCGCGCACCGCGCAGCGCGCAGCGTAAGTACGGATGCGGAACTCGGCACGCAGGCGGAGCACGAAGGCGTGACGCAAGGCGTGCGCCAAGACGTGAGCCAACACGGTCGGACTCGATGGGACAGGACACGCGGGAGGGCGCAAGACCCTTCCAAGGGCCACGTTGCCACAGGAATGTAGGAGGCATAGGTCGCGAGACACAGTACACGAGGGCACCCTTGATCTGGCAGGGTCGACCTACTAATCCGGGCCGCCTGTACGGTGAGCCAGCACGCACCGTGCTGACACCGACGTTTTGAGCACGGTGCGTGTTGCGTTTCAAGACGGGCGTATCGAGGCAGCGAAGCAATCGAGCGACGAGCGTCGTTGAGTGCAGCGACACTACTGAGGACGAAGCCAAGACGAAGACAACTTCGGGTGAGGATGCATCGCGAATCGCTGAGATCCGGCGGCCGTGGAGGATCGGGCGCCAAGGCCTTCGCAGAGCGTTCCAGAACGCTCTGACAGCATTCTGGAACGCTCTGGAAGGGACTTCTCCTGGTCCTAGCCCTGCCCGATGAGCGTCGGTGATTCAACGGTGTTGGTTTTCATCCTCGTCGCTTTCGGCACCGAGGTGCTGTTTTCTGGCCCAAGGACCGCCGGGAATCGATCCAAGGCGAACCCGCTGGCCTGGATCTATCCGGAATCCGAGGTTCGATCTCATGGATACGCGACTCCATGGGTATGGCCGAAAAGTGGCATGGAGGAGGAGGAGGAGAAGGAGGAGGAGGAGGAGGAGGAGAAGGAGGAGGAGGAGGAGGAGGAGGAGGAGGAAGAGGAGGAGGAGGAGGAGGAGGAGGAGGAGGGAGGAGGAGAAGCAAGAGGAGGAGGAGGAGCAAGAGGAGGAGAGAGGAGGAGGACGGGTCGCCGAAGCCCTTCGGGCCAGGGACGCGAGCCCGCTCGCCGAAGACAAGATGCGCGCCGTGCAGGCGCCCAGAGCGAGGCGCTGCCCGAGGAGGAGAGCCCAAGCACGAAGAGCTGGCACTGCACCGATTGTTTTGGATTTTCTTGCAGAAGCCGAAGAGGAGGAGGAGAAGGAGGAGGAGGAGGAGGGGGAGGAGGAGAAGGAGGAGGAGGAGGAGGAGGAGGAGGAGAGGAGGAGGAGGAGGAGGACCTGAAGATGTCGACGTGCTGCAGCGGATTTTCGCGTGGATTCCTGTCAGTGCGAAGCCCCGACACAGCGAGCGAAAAACGAAGCGCCTTCCACGTGGACTTGCTTTAGTACTTAATCTTCATTCCTGGCCAAAAAGAATCCGCACGAGATTCACATTGAAATCCGGAACGACATTCTCCAAGATCATCCGGGCCCACCCCATGGACTTCCGAGCGAAATCCGCTCTGCGACGTGGGCGCCATAAGAACTGGCACATCGAGGAGTCGTCGCGCACAGTCGGGGCTGATTGGAGAGGACACGCGAGAGGACACGAGACCCTTCCGAGGGCCAGATGGCCACAGAAGACGTGGGTCGCTAGACACACGACACAAGGGTACCCTTGATTTGGCAGGGTCGACCTACGAATTCGCCTCGACTGTACCCTTAGGTCGGGCGTGTCCTCCTACAGGTGGATTTTGGACGAAGCATATAATACAGCCAAGAAATACACCCGAATGATCAAAACTAGGAAAACATCGTCCCCCGAATATGTTTCACAATACCTCGCCCTATAATGAAAAAATCGTCCCCGGAATTTGTTTACTACTATTTTTGAAAATTCCTCCTGTAGAGGGACACGCCCGACTTACTGCAAATTCGCCTCGACTGCACCCCCTGCCGCGCGCCAGCTGGACGCTCCGTGGGGGAGGGGGGGGGGCATCTGCGCGCTTGGCCGCCCTGCACCCACGAGGCCTCGGCCGAGGAGACCAGGAGCTTTCTCTCTCTCTCTCTCTGGCTCTCCTCCTCCTCCTCCTCCTCCTCCTCCTCCTCCTCCTCCATGCCACTGTTCGGCCATATCCATGGAGTCGCGGAGGAGGAGTAGGGGGAGGAGGAGTAGGGGGAGGAGGAGGAGGAGGAGGAGGAGGAGAGGAGGAGGAGGAGGAGGAGGAGGAGGAGGAGGAGGAGGAGAAGGAGGAGGAGGAGAAGGGGGAGGAGGAGGATGAAGACACGAGGAGAAGAGGAGATGAGGGGAAGAGGAGAAGAAGAGGAGGAGGAGGATGGGGGAGGAGGAGGATGAAGACACGAGGAGAAGAGGAGATGAGGGGAAGAGGAGAAGAAGAGGAGGAGGAGGAGGAGGAGGAGGAGGAGTAGGATGGGGGAGGAGGAGGATGAAGACACGAGGAGAAGAGGAGATGAGAGGAAGAGGAGAAGAAGAGGAGGAGGAGGAGGAGTAGGAAGAGGAGTCCTCCCCAGGGAGCCCCTTGCCGCGGTTGCGTCTGCAGGGCCGCTCCGGGCCCCAGACCCTGCCCCCCCCCCCCCCCCGGGAGGCCGCGGCTGCGCTCAAGAAACGTCAGCCCGCGCTCTGCGCGCGGGCTGGCCGCGCCTTCCTGCCTGGAGGCCGGGCGCACGGCGGGGCAGAGCCGCGGCGTGGAATGGCTGCTGAGGATCGCCGCGGGGCGTGGTGGTAAGTGGGCGATTCAAAAAACCCTGAGCCCAAAAACGTTTTCATCTCTTGAGGCGATGCTTTACTTCCACCGCCTTCCGCCGCCCTTCCACCGCCCGTCCGCCGGCGGGAGGGCGGCCTCGGCACACTTCCGCGGGCCTTCCGCCGGCCTTCCGCTGCGGAAGAAGAGGACAGCTCCTTCGGTCCTAGACCGCAAGGCCCTTTCTGGCACGCCACAAGTGGATCGGAGGGTTACATGCGGATGCCAAGGTGGACTATACCTGGCCCACCCTGGCTTAGAAGTAGGCTACAGATGCCCCAAATAGCTTCGGGGGGTGGGCCCACCCACTTAGCGGAGTCATCTAACCCCCCTATAAGCCGCTCGGGGGATTGGTGACACAATCGCAAGCCAGGTTGGGTCAGGCATAAACCCACCTCGGCATCCACTTGTCTCCCCCCTTCTCCACTTAGCAACCCCCACGGTTATCCCAATGGCACTTCTGGGGGCGCGCAGATTCTGCTTCCCCTTGAGGCGTTGGAGTCAAGGTAGCCGCAAAGGTTCTGGTGAACACCCCCCAACAATGGGAGAACCATGAATTTCTGTAAGGGCTCATTGACGGATTGGGACGCCGAAAAGTACTGGGAAAATGTATCTTCCCCCGCGGCGGCCACCGCTGATGATCAAAGGAGGGGTGAGGATCCCTGGTGGTGGTGATGATGAGGAGAAGGACGAGGAGGGGAAGGACGAGTTTGATTGCCAGCCGAGAGCTTCTGGGGGGCGAAACCCCGAAGCATCAAAGACCCTCTGGAAGTCGATGGGTCGATGTACCATGCCGCATCGCCGATGCAACGCCGATGCGTCGGTGATGCATTCGCGACGTTGGCGA